CCTACGAGGAAGACATCAAAACAGAAGGCTCAGGAAATAAAATATATGAGAGACTATTTCATGTGTCATAACACCTGGAAAATGAGATTGCCAAAGTGAAGTCTGATTTTTTTGAAAATTAGTTGAAAGCTGTGTGCTATACAGGAGATAGCGTTGAGTTCTGTGATATGGGAATTCACAGCGCTTTCTACACGTTACCTAATACAGTGGTTCTTAACCCTGAACGTGTGCCAGAATCTCCTGGAGGGCTATTAAAAACACAGATTGTCATGCCCCACCTCCAGAGCAGGGTGTGGCCTGATGAATATTTGCATGTCTAAGAGGTTCTCAGTGCTACTAGCCAGGGACCACACTTTGAGAACAAATAAAATGCTGTAAACCTTAAAATAACCCTAAGAGGTAGGCATTGCTGTCTTTCTGTTTTATATATTTTATATATTAGTTGTCTGATCACTGAGAGGTTAAATAACCTAATCAAAATTCACACAGGTAAAAAAGTGGCAGCACTGGGATTCGGATTTGTGTTTCCACCTGACTCCAAAACCCGGTCTTTCTCTGTCTAACCGTACTAAATTAAACGATAAAGAGGTAAAGGATAGTGAGCAAATGAAGGTAGAAATAATGTTATTTGACATTGGAGACTGACTAGCAGCGGCGAAACATTATTCTTGTGCCCCGACTGGGCTGTGATCTTGACCAGTGTACAGTGTGGCTATTTCCTGGTCTACGAGTCAGAGACAATAATACACCATTTCTCTAAGGTGCCTGACAAAATTGCTAAGGAACTTTGGGGCAGTCTTTGAAAAATTGGGAAAGAAGAGAGATATAGGATTTGCAAGAAGATGAAAGGTTGATATCAGAAGTCAATGGTATTAGAAGCTGAAAGCTGATTTGGGGAAAAAAAGACGACAGCAAGTACTTTTTTATGGTAGTTATGTGAAGTAGCAGGAGTTACTTAATGTGTCTTCAAACATAGGAGAAGCAGAGTAAAAACTGACCTAGCATCTTCACAAATCCACAAAGAAAAAATAAACAAGAAATAGGAAGATCAGTGACTGTAATCGCACTAGATCTTTAGGTCTACTCACCAGACATTGTCTAACCATACATATATGTCTGAGAGCATTGTCAGGATTCCATTCTGTATCATCTCGTGTTTTCATACATGCTGTCTCCATTCAACTGTATTGTCAGTCCTACATTTTACATATTGAAGTGAACTGATAAACTATTCTTTTATTATGAGATGTTTTTGCTGGTTCTACTGTTCCATTTTGAAATATCCAGGGAAATGTTATCTATCTCAAATGGGTTGACTTGGATTTTGCCAGCACATTCTTCAAAAAGAAGCTAATTTTTCTTGGTATAAGTTGCTATTCCGATAATACTCTGGAGCTTTGAACTAGTTTTACTTTTACTGCAGATCACAGTCTCACAACCACCAGTTATACTTATGGCAAAATGCATGTCCACATGGGAGCGTTTGAATACTTAGGGGCGAATTTTAAGGGAAATATGTCATTTTCTCAAGGACCATGATTTTATAATGGTAATTTTTCTTTTTTTACTATCATTTTATTTTTTAAGCAAAGTTAAACCACCTCCACAAATTTCACCCAGCAAATCAATGGGCGGAGAATTTTGCGTGGCTGCAACGTTTGGGACATCCCGATCGTGGTTTGCAAATAATGCAGGTCTGAAAAGAGAAAAAGGTATGTATTTTTATTGAAGTTAAACTTGCCATTTGTAATTTTTGTTTCTTGAGGAAAATTCAGAGCAGTTCTCTTTGAATAATCTTGAGCCCAACAATAGAAAAAAAATTCCCCACTCAGTTAGCAAGTCTCTCCTCAACTATTCAAGTCTCAAGAAGACAGGCTATCCTCTCACTATAAATGTGGAATAAATTGCCCAGAGTGTTTTTATTTTGTTTTGCTGGTGTCAATATACAGGTGTTCTCAGTGCTGTCAATTCCATACCATTATATGTAGCTTTTACATTTTTCTCAAACTAATTTCATGCCGTTGTCTATAAAGTGTGGAGAGGAAGAACGTTCTTATCCCTATTTTAGAGATGAAGAATTTGAGATCAGTAAGTTTAAATAATTTAGCTAAGATCACTAGTTACTAGGTTATGGTATCAGAGTTTGAACCCAGGTTTTCTAATGCTAAATCTGTCCTTAAAAAATAATCTACAACAATTCTGCCATGTTATAAATTAAAAGATAAAAACAGGCTCCCACTCAGAAATAAGAATCATCTTTTGTGGTAACCATTGTCCCTTTGAACTTATATAGTGTTGTTGTTGTTTTTTAAATCTCTCCTTTGACCACCAGAGTCAACTTATATAATTCCTCTTTTGTATGTGATTCCTCATTGTTTCTGTTTAGAAAAGAGTGCCTGCCTTCATGGACCAAGTGTTTAATTTTGAGTGTTAAAAATTTCCTCTTATTATTGTGATACTATTAAAGTAGGTCAGAAACCGAGTTGTTAGCGAGGCACTTTTCTGACAGGTTCCGCAGGCTGTATTGTTCTTGGCAAAATGGCTCTCCCTTACGCTTAATACCGGCAGTCAGACGTCAGCCCTTTCCCTTGTTATCGCCTTTCAGTGGCCCTTTCCTTGGAAATAGGATCCCAGGCACAGCAGGCTCTTTACCTAAGTGGGAGAGGATACAGTAAAGTATGCAAGCCTTCCATTTTCTTATCCCATCTTTATTTTTTTGTTACCTCCTCAGCTTTAATGATGCTATCGAAATGACTTTTTGTTACTAGTTAAAACCCTCTGTGAAGCTCGATTTCAAATGCTTCTCGCTTCTGTTCTAATTACCCTTTTAACTTGCTACTCCTTTATGTCCCACTACTGGTCATTAGCCATTTTCTCAAAGCAGCTGTAATCCAGTCCTCTGGCATAGAGATAAGGTAACCCACCCAGCATTCATGAGGGATTTTATATGCTCCTAGGTTTACTGTAAAACCCAAGATAGAGGACTAAACCTGGTTTGGTAGTGAGGACATGTGTACTCCTTATAAAGTCATTTGATTAGATCCATATTCAGCACCTGACCTCAAAGTATGACTGGTCTTCATTTGCCATGGGAGGAAAGAAGGAAGAGGATTGAGAGGAAAGAAGGACAAGGATTTGGGGGAGGAGGACGTGTGTGTGTTTTTCATTTGCCTGTTTGTTTTAATCCAGAAATTTAACGGAGGAAGTTTTCTGAGAGAGAGTAGATGAGAAGTTAGGCTGATTTAGGCAAAGGGTCTCTCCTGCAGTTGAGTTGGTGCATCCAGTGTAACTAAATCTTAGTCCATACAGGGTTCCTTTTCTGTCAGTCCTTCCCTGTCCCACCTGAAACTATTCATTTTTCATAATGTGGGACAAATTACTACACTGCAGGCAAATACAAAAGACTGTATAATATTGTTTGAGCATACTAGAATTTTGAGTATATTTATGTCATTCTTGAAATAAATTGCTTAAATTTAAAAATATTTTGATAGCATAGAACTTTTCATATTCGTTAGCATCTACTTATAAGAGACAATTTTTAGGCAAGGAGCAGACACCATGTGAAAAATTTCCTGCCTTCTTACTTTCTCTCAGCAACCTTAGGAACGGACTGAAGGGTCAATAACTTGTAAAAATGATGCTGTGCTCCTTTTATGCCAATATCACATATCCAGGATCTGTTTTCCTGTTTTGTAGATCAGTCCAAACAAGTTGTAGTTGAATCCCTCTACATTATTAGCTGCTACGGGAACTTAGTGGAGCACATGATGGAGCCACGACCGCTTAGCACTGCACCCAAGATCAGCGATGACACCCCACTAGAAATGATGACATCTCCCCGAGCCAGCTGGACTCTGGTTAGGTAGTATCTCTTTTTGGTTTTTTGTTTTTGGGTTTTTTTTTTTAACAGCTTTGTTGAGATATAAAATATTAAAAGTGTACAATTTGGTAAGGTTTGACGACGTATGTATACAACTGTGAAATCACCCCCATAATTAACATTATATATATATCCATCACCTCAAATGTTTTCTTATGCCTCTTTCTAATCTCTCACCTGCCCCCCTTTATCCCTACTTCACCCACTGAGCCCCAGGCAACCATTGGTCTGTTCTCTGTCACTATAGATCAGTTTATAATTTCTAGAATTTTATATAAATGGAATCAGAGTGCATAGTCTTTTTGTCTTCTTTCTCCCAGCAAAATTATTTTGATTTATCCCTGTTGTGTTTTTTGATAATTCATTCCTTTTCTAATTGACATATAATTTACATGTAATACATATAATACAATTCACCTACTTAAAGTGAATTTTCACTAGGTCGTGCATCCATCACCACAATCAATTTTCATCACCCCCCAAAGAAATCCCGTACCCATTAGCAGTCATCCCCACCCCCCCACCCCCATTTTCCTTCAACCCTTCAGCCCTAGGCAACCACCAGTTTATTTCCTGTCTCTGGATTTGCCTACTCTGGACATCTCATATAAATGGAATCATGCAAAATGTGACCTGTTGCATCTGGTTTCCTTTACTTAGTATAATGTTTTTAAGGTCCATCCATGTTGCAGCATGTAGCAGAACTTCATTCCTTTTTTATGGCCAAATAATATTCCATTGCATGGATATACCACATTTTGTTTATCCATTCATCAGTTGATGGGCATTTCCACAGTTTAGTTGTCATGAATTATGCTCCTGAGAATATTCATGTACAGATTTTTGTGTGGTCCTGTGTATTCAGTTGTCTTTGGTGTATGCCTTGGAGAAGACCTCCCTTTGAACTTCTTTCTCCTTGCATCTTTGAGTTACCTTTTCTAGGACTTGTTTTTTTTTCCTATCCCACATAAAGAGCTTTAGTGCTTCCCCTATTTCCAGTCTCATGCTCACTGCAAGTAGAAAGTACATTGAGATAGCCATTATGGGGAATGGAAACTAATATAAATAGATTGGAAGGTTTCCTTTAAAGTGATTCCCCAAGATATAATGGTTTATCACTATAAAAATGTTTATTAACAATTAGAGTCCTTCTCAAAAGTACATAATCATTAGAACCTTTATAATCTAGTATAAAGATGGAGAAATAAGATCTAGGATAAAATCCGTTCAATATAGTGTACAATAGTATAGGAGAGATAGAAAAAATTGGTCCTGACATGTATGGAAGGAAACAGACAAAAATGGATATGAAAATGATCTCTCTCCTTATGACATTTTAAAATATTCTTATATTGATTTTTGGAGGCTCTACCATTCTTTACTAGTACTTTACTGCACTGGATTGATCTGATCAATATCTTATTTATCAAGCTATTTAAGAATGGGCAGATCTAATTAAAATTACTGCACCATCATTGAAATAAGTGGCTTATTTTGGCATTCAGATGCTAATTAGGTCTTTAATAAGCCAACCATTAACTGTGTTTTTTTAAGCCATTCTTATCTGCTTTTATTTTACTTTAAAATGTATACATATTCTAAGAATAGAGAGCTCTAACAAGTGTCAGAAATGAGGTAAAAATTAGTTGTGACATTTGAATTCCACACTTCCTCTCTGTTCAGAATTTTGAATGTCTTGTCTATCGTATTGAAGGGTCGTCTGCTTTAAACTAATATTGGCTGTATGTAATTTGTATGACTCACTGCCACCTTTTTATTCTTTCTAAGCAGATGGCCTTGTGTTTCAGGTTTCAGCACTCCAACAAGTTCATTTTAATGATTACAAAGATAGTGTGAGTTTATATCAGTGTCTGTAAGTGGTGACAGTGATGGTGATTTACATCCCATCTATTAAGCCTGAATATTAATATTCTTCTGCTGTTTCCTTAGAACTCCTCAATGGAATGAATTGCAACCACCATTTAACGCAAACCACCCTCTGCTCCTCGCTGCAGATGCAGTACAATATTATCAGTTCCTGCTTGCTGGCCGTGAGTAGTTCTCATTTTTTTTCCTTCCATAGAGTATTTTGAGCTTTCATTTTAAAATGCTGACTTTTAATGCAACCATGCATATTACCACTGGTCCATAGGCCAGAGGCCGTAAGTAATCAGACTGAGGCAAGTAAGATGTTTAATACAAATGTATGCCATAAGCTTTAGCACACATTAAGTATGCCTCTAACTGTTCACATTCCCTGGCCATGAGATATCTGGTGGGCTCAAAATTTTTTTAAAGAAATGAGGATACTAGGATATAATAAAGTTTCATGAAATTGGAATTTATTTCTGACATGAAAAAAGTTAAGCACTTTTCACTGTGAAAATTGTATCAGCAGGCTTTTCGCTTTGTAGAATTTTACTTGCAATAATGAAGTAGTGATTCCAGCTCCATCAGGATTTCGTTTACTTTTATACCTAAGCCCTAACGTTTGTAGAGATTGATCTCGATTCGTTTTTTACTTAAGGAGAAAAAAATGTAGATTGAACTAGAAACAGCCTTCTTTGTAGGTGAGGCCTGAAAAGATAATTTAATATTTATTATCCAGTTTATGGTCATAGAATTAAAAATTCTTTACAATTACAATTCAGTTTTGTAGAATTCACTGGATCCTTAATTTTACTTGATGGCTCTGAGTACTGCATGTTTTTAAGAAACTTTCTAAAAATCAACAGACATGTTTTTAATGGAGTTTTGTTGAATCAGACTTCATTTCTTGCCTAGCTGTATTATGCAGCATGAAGTAAAATATTTGTAAAACAATTTTATTTTATGTTTATAGTGTGTTATATGTTATACTGGAAACAGAGAAAGTGTATTGACTTTGCTCTAAAGTTACAAAACTCTATAATTGTAACAAATAGTTGGCAGTCTCATTCTCTTGTGTAATAGAACTCACTGATTCTTCTTCTTCATGTATTTATTGAGTGACTTCTATGTGTCAGGAACTTGTGGTTTAAATGAGAATAGTATGTTGCTTCTGTCCTCAATGAATTCAGTATCTAATTCAGGAGACAGGTGTTAAAAGATAAAAGGAAATGAGGCAGGTGCATCAGTGAAGGGTTATACATTGAATTATGAGGGCAGTGACTTAAATTGCCAAAGCTTTCACAGAGGGATAATAGGTAAGTGGTTTTCTGGTTCCAAGAAGCAGAGTACATAAAAGTTGTTAGGGTCTAGGTCATCTAAGCATATATTTAACTCTGTCATATGACTTGGAAAATACATGACATTTATGTAATATCAATGTTCACGAGAACATTTCCCCCTACTTCTCAATAGGGGTGAAAATAACTAATTGTTGGATTAAGTGTAGGTAACTTTTTCAGAATTAATGTTGGTTTTCTTTGTTTAGTTATTTTGATAGGTCTGCTCAGTAGACAAACAGTAGCAAGTCCCAAATATATGAGAAAAAGATACGGGGGGAAAAAAATCAAAAAGCAACTGTCTCTATTCCTTAATTTTTTTGTTCCAGTGAATTAAGCTGATGGATATGACTTTATTTTAGCAGCTCTACTTGCACGGTTGAAGAACCGCCACTGTAGGCAGTAGCAAGCCATCAGTTGTTTTCAAGCATTGGAACGACACCATCAGAACTGCCTCTTAGAAAGGTCACCCTGGCAGTGTTGTAATAAGAGGTTCGGTGGCGGGGGGAGGGCAGTGGAGTCACAGTGATCCTGGAGCAAGATGAGAGGACTTTAGTTAAGGCTGTTTACAGAGAAGACAGGACAAACCTGTGAGATGTTGCACAGTTGGACTAGAACAGAATTAGACAATTTCAAAAAAAGGTAGTCGCTGATGGTTCTATGGTTTCTAAATAAAATACATAATATAATGCATTTTATGTGAGACCTTTTGAATTCCAGGTGGACTAGCATTGGGATAAGGATGAAAAGGCCTAGTTTCCAGTTCTAGACCACGTCTCAGTAACTTGGAAAATATAAAGTATCAGTAATGATACTTGCTCTTATGAAGGTGTTACTGTGGTCAGTGAAGTGATGCTAAAGTCCTTTAAAAACTGTAAAATAATCTATACATTTAAGCATCATTCTGAACCTTTGTTTCTTATCTCAGAAGTGCGTATTTTCAAATATTAGACTTCAGGAACTTAACAATGGAATCCCTATTCTGAATATGTGATTTTTGACAACGTTGCCAGATCTGTCATCTAAGTGATAGACTTAATATGTCTGTCATATATCTAAGTGACATAATTATTATGTTTCCTCTTATCTAGTGAAATGTTAGTATAGATATAATTTAATAAGTTAAAAAATACCTAAGAGGCAGGTAATTCTGTAATAATTATTATATTGCTTCTTTACATTGACAGTAGAGACACAGATTTAGCCTGGATTTTTAAAGTCATGTTTTCAACATAAAGAAAGGCTATTTGGGGCTTCCCTGGTGGCGCAGTGGTTGGGAGTCCGCCTGCCGATGCAGGGGACGCAGGTTCGTGCCCCGGTCTGGGAAGATCGCACGTGCCGCAGAGCAGCTAGGCCCGTGAGCCATGGCCGCTGAGCCTGCGTGTCCAGAGCCTGTGCTCCGCAACGGGAGAGGCCACAACAGTGAGAGGCCCGTGTACCGCAAAAAAAAAAGAAAGGCTATTTGATTGAGAGTCCTCGACAAGATAGTATATTTCATGACTGAAGCAATTAAATATGCAAAACATGGACATCTGCATCAGAGGAGTAAGAGCTGAAATATAATTGGTAAAAGCAATGCTGGAGCCAGTTTAGAGAGAATGCCTTTGCCTACCCATCTGTTGAGCCCTCTGTAAGTTAGAGCCTCATTAAGAAAACTTTCTTATTACCTTCTTGCTTGACTTTCTCTCCGGTTTCCCTTACTGAAGCCATTTGAAAAGATGATGTGTATACTGTACCTGGTGGCAGGAAGTTTTTTGTTTTATTCAACCATATTGAAAATCACTTCTTACTTCCCAACCTGCAAACTGTTGATAAATATATTACTGAAGGTATTTTCAAATATAACCATTTGGAGTAAAACTGTAATGCAAACTTCACAAATGTTGTCAGTATTTTCTTTGGTTGTATCTGGATCTGTGGATCAAGTGAAGCAGACTTGTACAAACTCCGGAAATTATAATAATAGTGGACAAAGAATGATGTAAATGGAAATGCGAAAGAGACTTTGTCTCAGGGAGAGGAGTGTAGGAGAGCAGGATGTTTAGCAAGGAATCCCCACTCCCCTTTCAGCCCTGTAATCATAATAAATACACCACTAGTTGTAAACAAAGTTCTGCATATGTGGCAAAAGGGTGACTGGTGGTAAGGGAAAGGGAAACCTGCCTGAACACTAAAGACTTCTTACCTAAATTTAGTGAAGTAAGTTAAAAACTCCAAATTTTGTATTAACTGTAGTCACACTTCCTACCCATATTAAATGAATGGAATGATACAAAATTGAGCAATTTGGGTGTATCATAAATTGACTCATAGTAGCCTGCTCCTTACAAGAGCTCCTCACTATGGAGGTAGAAATCACTCCTTTGTCATTAGGAGGATAAGCCATAATAAATTGCTGTTTAGAATAAGCAAAAAAAGTCATATGGTTTGAGTAGATTGACTAGTTTATGTATGCAAAGTGGATATGCAGATGGTAATCTAATCTTGCTATATAGCTCAGTAAAGGTAAAAGTCAAGAATCTAATATAAAAAAAAAGTTTTGCCTGGGTTGAAATCTTGGGAATCGTTTATAAAAAGATTATGGTAGTGGTGATTAGTGATTTTTGTGCTAACGGTATATTTTCTAACTTCCGAAAAAAAAAAAACCACATGCTATAGTTACCTTTTCTAAAATAGGCTTTTTATTTCAGTGTATTTCTTTGCCAAAAACAAAGATAAACATTAGACGAGACTAACAAATATCAACCAGCTTTGAATGTGATCCAGAGTAGACAATGCTTTTTCTTTAGTCTGCTTCAGAGCTTCCCAAATTGTAAATTAGAAACAGGGCTTACTTGGGAACGTTTTATTTAGGGCAAAAATAATGTTTCCTCCTTTTCTTTCAGGTAATTTGGCAACAGCAGTATTTTTTAAGTTGCTGACATTAACTAGCTTTGTTGGGGGTAGGTCAGACTTTGAACTTCCAAGATAATCCATGGGTTTGTGAGAAGTTCCTCCCTAAGCTTACTGAGTTTTCTTTGTTAAATGGTAACAAAGGACCACTCAACAGATATATCGCTTTGATACACGATAGAAAGGTGACTGGGATCCATAGAACCCCCTCCCAGTGTTTTACTGGGGATATAATTGTTTTTCTCTACTTATAAAGGCATTATAGGAAAGGTGGGGAAAGCCTTTGACACTAGATGGAAGGGAATGAAGAACACTGAAAATGGGTTAAAGCATATATGTGGGTTTTTGTTAATTATTTAACTGTCTTTCAAATATAATTCACTGTTAACACAAAAATAGTATCAATGTATTGTGGTCTTTAAAACACATACATACGTGTGTGTGTGTGTGTCTGTGTGAGACAACAGTAGCATAAAGGCCAGGAGTGTGGGAAATGGAACTATACTATTGTAAGTTTTTATAGTATATGTGGCTTCAGCATCATTTGAAGGTTGTTAAAGATGTATATAATGAAATAAAAAAACAACCTAAGTGCTCAAAAAGGAAATAAAATATTAACAAATAAGCAAGTTGATGTAACCCTAAGCATGTCAGTGCTCACATTAGTTATAAATGGTCTAAACATCTAAACAAGTCATGGATCAAAAAATAAACCCCAGCTATATGCTGCTTAGGAGAAACCCACTTTTTTTTTTTTTTTTTTTTTTTTTTGCGGTATGCGGGCCTCTCACTGTTGTGGCCTCTCCCGTTGCGGAGCACAGGCTCCGGACGCGCAGGCTCAGCGGCCATGGCTCACAGGCCCAGCCGCTCTGCGGCATGTGGGATCTTCCTGGATTGGGGTACGAACCTGTGTTCCCTGCATTGGCAGGCGGACTCTCAACCACTGCGCCACC